AATACAGATGTTTTTTAAAGATTCTGCGTCACATGGGAGAAACGTTACATATTAAGCAGATTCAAAGATCAAAACTGATATAAACACAATATATTATTGGCGTGGAAATTCCAAATGTGGAGTGTATGGAGGAAGATACTGGGAAAAACAAAGCAAAAAAGCCTGATGCAGTATAAGTATATATACGTCAATATATATATATATATATATATATATATATATATATATATATATATATATATATAAAGCGAACATTGAAGCCAACACTCAGAGGCGACAGGCCAATTGCGTCTAGCATGAAACAGCCTGTCGCCTCTGAATGTTTACTTCAATGTTCCCTTTTATATTTATATACGCTCTATTTCTGATATTGAGCACTCTACTCCATACATATGGCACACCTTAAAACTATATTTATTCATATATATAAGTATATATTAAAATTTTTTATTTATATAAATATATATTTAGGATATATATATGTGTATATAATTATATACATGGATTTATATATATATCAGTAAATATCAAAATTTTTATATATATATATATATATATATATATATATATATATATATATATATATATATATTAATTTGTAAATAATTATATTGGCTATACTACATGTTTAACAAGAAGACTCACGTTACAACTGGGGAACTACCAAACTCTAATCGTAACATACATGTTGATAATACAAAAAGGCTACAAATAATGTAGCAGTATTAATAAAAACGAAAAAGCCAACATTCACCAGCCATAAACTATGAACACGGCCACACTTTGCTGACCGTGTTTGCAAAATAAATAATTCCTATAACTCTAGATACATACATAAAACAATCCATATATTCAGTGAAAAGTAACGTAAAATTCTTCTTTGATAAGAGCTAAAGTTATAGGGGGAAGCTCTTGAAAAACATTCGAACTATTTTTATATAATTTATTTCAATAAAAAATTATATAGATATATTTCTATATAATTTATTTCCATTAGAAATTATATAAAAAAACAACCTCTTATCCACAGCATCTTGTCAATCGTTTCCAAAGAAATTTGGGCAAAAGACTGATTGCTGCTCAAATACACCATATATAAGAGTAGTAGAGTACAGCGTAGAGCTAAATATTATTTATTTTACGATATTAAAACAAATCTCTACATAATGGCAATTATGTTTCATTCTTTTCACCTTGGACTTGTAATACTCTAATATTTCCACTGAAGACATAAATATAATAACGAACTGTAGAAGATATGTTCTTATTAACAACAATGTAAAAAAGGTAGTTTAAAATCGCTCGAGGAGACGCATTTGTAGTGTTGAAACATAATTCCCATTGTGTAGCGATTTTGAACATGTTATAATATTATATATATATATATATATATATATATATATAATTATTTATGTAAAAAAATTATAACATAAATATGTTATAAAATTACTACAAAAATAGCCATTTTGTTTCAACACCTCCTGTCTTATCAAGTATTATAAAGAACAGTAAGATATATAATCCGGTGTTCTTATAGATATTTTTATTTTTACAATATAGTGCTCAATGTAAATTTACAGAGCATTAATATTATAAATTAATTGATTTGAAATATGGGTTTTTCGCTACACAATTCTAACTATGTTTCAAAAATGGAAGCTAAAAGCTTGGAATTTAATTTTGTAATTAAATTAAAGACATTAGTTCCATATCATCCTCAAGCGAATTTTGGGGTAACTTTTAAAATTACTGGGTTTTAAAGACACAGCAAAAATCATAATTCACGTTTTCAAGGATACAGAGAAATCCATTCATCGAGACAAGGGGTGTCTGCGTGTTCATTATCGCTGTATTTTGATGTATCAGTTATTAGTTACGTTTTGGTAGGGGTAGGGATGTATTTTTCAATGAATTCTGACATCCATTAAATGCATGTCGTCTAGATTTTTTTAAAAAAATGATTGTTAACGGCAAAAATTCTTACGGCATTTTTTTCTATTTGTATACTTAAAGATTTTTGTTGGGTGTTTAGGTTGGAATACGTTTTATTTAACTACGATCTTATTTATATATATATATATATATATATATATATATATATAAAGTGTAATGTATATAAGTTGTAAAGTGTAATATATATATATATATATATATATATATATATATATATATATATATATATATATATATATTACACTTTACAAGGCCCTCTGAGGTAGAGAGTTACGTTAGGAGGCCATTTGTGTGTATAGGTAAGGGAGATAATGATTAAGCCTAGACTTAAATAGATTAAGATTGTAGTTTTCGGGGGAAACATCTTTCTGTACGGATCATTGTGCATATCTATGTTGTCAACGATAAAATGGACGCTATACTCATAGATAGATAGTATAGTGATTTGATGACAGATAAGTGGAAAGAAATAATAGAAATAAAAAAGGCAAAACATAGAATGACATTGGAGAGTGGGTGAGATTTAAAAAAAAAGAATGAATTACTATTAAGATGGAATAGATACATTGAATAATTCTAAGTGCTGTTCAAAGAAAGAAAGAAAGAGAAAAGAAAAAAAGAAAAACAGAAAAAAGAAAGAAAGACAGAAAGAAAAAAGAAAGAAAGAAAGAAAGAAAAAAAAAAAAAAGAAAGAAAGAAAGAAAGAAAGAAAGAAAAAAGAAAGAAAGAAAGAAAGAAAGAAAGAAAAAAAAAGAAAAACAGAAAAAGAAAAAAGAAAGAAAGAAAAAAGAAAGAAAGAAAATAGAGGAATGGAAGGAAAAGAGAAAAACAAAGAAAGAAATGTTGACAGAGGACAAAATAAAGATAGTGAGAAAGAGGTGAGAGAGTGATGTCGAGAGATAAATATAGAGAGTGTGAGAGATATAGAACGAGAGAGAGAAAGAGAGAGAGAGAGAGTGAGAAAAAAAGGAAGCGATCGGATTTTAAAAATAAGAAACATTTAGTATTACCATGAGATAAACACATAGAACAACTACAATTAATGTTCAGAGAGAAAGAGAAAGACAGAAAAGAGAGGAAAGGAAAGAAAATTGAGAGAAAGAAAGAAAGAAAGAGAGAGAGAGAGAAAGAGTGATACAGAAAACAAGAATTAGGAAAGAATAGGTAGATAGAGAGATGGAAGTAAAAAGCGAAAATGTGAGAGAAAATTTAAAAGATTTAAAAAAATGTAAATGAATTTCCATCGTAATGGGAAACATTGAATAGATACAATTGTTATTAAGAAAGAAAAAAAAAAGAAAGAACGAAAGGCATGATGGAAATAAAAAGAGAGAAAGAAATTATAAATAGAAAGAATAAGAATCAGTAAATGATATATAGAGGGAGAGGGAGGAAAAGAAGGATATAAACAAAGACAGAGAGAGGAAGAGATAGATAGATAGATAGATAGATAGATAGATAGATAGATAGATAGATAGATAGAAAGAGTGTCAGAAAAAGAGAGCGTCTTTGTAAAATAATAGGATGTAAAAATCGAGAAAGAACTGCCATTAAGTGGAAATACATTGAACTGCTACAATTGTTGTTAAGAAAGAAAGAAAGAAAGAACAAGAAAGAAAGTAAGAAAGAAAGAAAGAAAGAAAAAGAAAGAAAGAAAGAATGAATGAATGAACTGAGGGAAAGTAAGAATGAATAAAAGAAAGAAAAAATTAAATGAGAGAGTGAAAGAAAGAAAGAAAGAAAGAAAGAAAGAAAGAAAGAAAGAAAGAAAGAAATGAGAGGAATAAATAAAGAGGAGAACTTATTGATAGAGAAAATAAGAATCGGGAAGGGATATATACAGTGCGAGGGATAAAGAGAGAAAAACACAGATAGAGAGAGAGAGAGAGAGAGAGAGAGAGAGAGAGAGAGAGAGAGAGAGAGAGAAAGAGATTGGGAAGGAGAAAGCGATAAAGATAGATATAGAGATAGATAGGTATATAGGTAAATAGATAAATATAAAGAGAGAAAGAGAGAGCATTCTAGTAAAATAATGGTTTGTAAGAAAATGAAAAGAACTGCCATTAAGTTGAAACAGACACACTGAACGAAAGAAAGAAAGAATCAATTAAATGAGGGTAGTAAATATGGAGAGATCTTATAGATAGATAGATAGATAGATAGATAGATAGAGAGAGAGAGAGAGAGAGAGAGAGATAGACAGAGAGAAAGAGAATGAGGGTAGTAAATATGGAGAGATCTTATAGATAGATAGATAGATAGATAGATAGATAGAGTGAGAGAGAGAGAGAGAGAGAGAGAGAGAGATAGACATAGAGAAAGAGAGTGAGTGAGGGAAAAAGATAAACAGACAGAGAGAAAGAGGGAGAGAGTGAGTGAGTGAGTGAGTGAGGGAAAGAGATACAGAGAGAAAGAGAAAGAGAGAGAGAGACGAGAAGAGAGAGTTTATCAAACTGGCCATTCGTTCCCGATATGGGTGCGCGGGGTTGAATTTTTCATGTTTCGTGGATAAACAAAAGCTTCATGAAAATTAATCAGCTATATTCATCAATATTGTATGAAACAATAATGTAATTTCACGCTATTTTTTCCGCTTTTCTCTCTTTACCAACCCCATACACAACATTTTATTATTATTATTATTATTATTATTATTATTATTATTATTATTATTATTATCTTTTACCCCGGTAAATGGCGTCATCAGAGATGGAAGAGGAGGACTTGAATGAAGGGTAGAACGGTATCTGTATACGGATGTGTAATGTGCATGCGTGCACTTTACACGATTTTTCTTTCCGTTCGCGCCAGTTCTGCATGTTTACGTGTCAGTGTGCGTGCGGACGCATGGACGCTTATTTGCGTATTTCCGTTCGGGATCCAGCGAATTTGACGGTGTGTATTCGTGTGGTGCAATATTCCCTTTCAAACCGATTCCAGTCCTTTCTTCTTTTTTCTTTTTTTATAGGGGTTAGTTGTTTTCAATGTATGGTGATGTATAAATGTGGAAAGGAGAGTGGACGACATTCTTTCATGAATTCTGCATCACTAACATAACGTACGGAAGTATTTAGCTTCTCTTTCACATTATTAATTGAATAAACGCTGTTAGTTCTTGCTGATGTGTAAAGGAGAGCAATATGCTTGCAAAATCTATGTACTGAAAATATTCATTTAGTTTTAGATCTTCAAAGACCATAAAGTTACTGCTGGGAAAACATTAGCAGCACATCCAATAAAGGCGTCTATCTATCTATCTATCTATCTAAATTTTCTATCTATTTATATTAGTCTATTTAAACTTATCTATGTTTCTATCGAACTTCATCTGTTCGAATCTATCTATCTATCTATCTATCTATCTTCGTCTGTTTAAATATATGTCTATCGAACTTCATCTGTTCAAATCTACGTCTCTTCAAATCTATCTATCTATCTATCTATCTATCTATCTATCTATCTATCTATCTATCTATCTATCTATCTATCTTCGTCTGTTTAAATATATGTCTATCGAACTTCATCTGTTCAAATCTACGTCTCTTCAAATCTATCTATCTATCTATCTATCTATCTATCTATCTATCTATCTATCTATCTTCGTCTGTTTAAATATATGTCTATCGAACTTCATCTGTTCAAATGTACGTCTCTTCAAATCTATCTATCTATCTATCTATCTATCTTCGTCTGTTTAAATATATGTCTATCGAACTTCATCTGTTCAAATGTACGTCTCTTCAAATCTATCTATCTATCTATCTATTTTAAAATCTGTTCAAATCTATCAATCTTCGACTGCTAAAATGTATGTATGTATCTATCTATGTTTGTCTGTTTAAATCTTTCTATGTCGCTATTGAACTTCATCCGTTCAAATCTATCTATGTCATTTCAAATCTATCTATCTATCTATCTATCTATCTATCTTTTATTTCTTTTTCTTTCTTTCTCGGTGTAAATATTATTTAACATCATTTACATAATTTCATATTTATCTTCGCCTACATATCAAACCGTTACAGTTATTTAATATTGTTTAATACATCTCAAAATATATTAAAGTTAAGACGTTAAGTGGTAATATTTGAATGATTTATTACATGTTTATTTATTTTATATGAAGTTTATATACAAATACCATATATGCAATAAAATAAGCAAAATATATTTTGTTTATCTTCATTTTAGATAATATTACTAAGTAATTATATTAACTCATATTTATTAGCGGAATATATGTTAATATTATTTAGTATTCTTTAATATTATTGAGTTAAGATTATTAAGTTATGTGGATATAAAGCCAGTGTAATACTTAGTGTTTATACGTACGCCCACGTCATACTAAATGTGACACAAAAGCCGAGTTTAATGTGAGATTTCGCAAGTCGTTCAAAAATAGCTAAAGTCCCTTCGGCACTTCCCCATTTTTGGGGACGCCTCCGGCGCTATGTAATGACCACAGCCCCCTCCCGAAGGTGAGGTACTGCCTTGGGCGATGCCTTTCTGGAGCTTCAGCTTACGTTGATAAACAAAATATTCTTCACACTTACTTCATAAAAGCAAAAGGAAAGTGTTATATATCTTATATATAAACGTACAGTGCATGGGTGTGTGTGTGTCCAAACAACTCCTCCGCTCCCACTGGTCCAATTTCAATGATCCATAGCTCATTCAAAAGCCTTAGAAAAGTTAGGCACAGGGAATGATTTTAGTCGAGTTCAAATTCTGGGGTGCCAGATTATGCGAGGTTAAAAATATATATTAATATATTATACTAGCCATTAACGTTGATTTCATTGTTCAAGGTGAGTAACTCTTATTTTCCTTTTGTATAAAAAAATTGCAGCTAGCTTAAAATTTTAAGATAGCTAAAATTTTAAGCTAGCTTAAAAGCCGTCCTATCAGGCGGCATTTAAGCTAGCTCCTGTCGAAGACTCTTGGTTTGGTTATCATCACAATAGCTAGAGAAGAATAGATGCGATAAAGACAAAAGAACTCAAAATTGATCTCTGCATTTAAGTATTGAATTAATGTTTAAGATTACCTTTTAAAAGTTCAGCGATAATTCTTCTGCTAGCACTTAATTTAAAGATGATTTGATGAACATAGATCCTTATTTTCTGTAAAATTATTTTTAATTCATGGGTGACAGAACAGGGGGCAGTTTATAAGATAAAATTAATATAGTGTAAAGATAGGAAAATAGAAATTAGAATTAGTTATACATTCAACATTTGAAGAGTTATAGAAACATAATAGCTAATGGAGAAAACGTTATATTATGGAATCTATACGAATAAATGCGAAATTGGAGCTCAATTCTGCCACGAATTCTGAGATTAAAATACCCCATCTCTACACGGTAAAAGTTCAATATCTGTATTTTATATAATCTACTTCTAGGCAATATCACTCTTCAGGTTTAACTTATTTGCATATTGATTAAAAAAAAATATTTCATTAATTAACTGTCTTTCATTACTGCTTTTTATTCGAGGATTATTTTGATTTTTATATCAAAACTTGTTCTGTTTAAGAATATCGTCTTATATATTGCAGAAATGTGTTTGAAATTTGCATTTTACTTGGCCTTCAACAAGTTGGCATCTATTTGTAAAATTTTCCTTAACAAGCCAATTTATGAACGAAATGTTCTTTTAAAAATTTTCTTTCGACGATTTCAAGTAGTGAATATATCTTACTACGCAAAACTATAGAGAGTGGGCGAAGCCTGCTAATATATATATATATATATATATATATATATATATGAAGAAATATGAAGAAATATAGTCTTTAAGATGTGCTATATTTTGGGATAAAGTGCTCAATATCAGAGATGAGAATGTATAAATAAATTAAATAAAATTAATCATTTCCTTCCATTGCATTTAAACTAGATGCAATCGTCAGGCCTGCCGATTCCATCTAGCATGAAAAAAGACTGTCGAACATTTGTTAAATTTTGATGTTCACTTTTATATATATATATATATATATATATATATATATATATATATATATATATTGTTATCCACAGACAGATTGTTTCGCTGTATCACAGATATCAGTGTGGCTAGACGTCCGGTTGCGTCTAACTGAATTGGTATCACTCGGGAGATTCTACCACGAAGCCATTGGCACACAATAGGGATGAAGGTGAATTTAAGCGTATATTTTTAGATAAACATACAGTGTCTGCGAGAACTCGATTCGATTTACCGAAGAGTCTTGCATCATTAGCCGTAATAGTCACTGTTTACAAACCCACACTTCCTCCCCAGAGAGCTCAACCGAAATGAATTTTTCAGGAGCATATATATTCTCATCCACAGACAGACTGTTTGTATGCAGAGTATATCAAAAATACTTTTACAAACTTTGGGGTGGGTTCTTCACACCAAAATAAGGAAAAAATCCATATAAACATGTCCGCAAATTCTTCATTTTTGAGTTATTAAGCCTAAAGTAAGTTCACGGTGGATGTCGCGGTTGAATTGTTCATGTTTCGGGGATAAACAAAAGCTTCATTATTAAATTTGCCCAACAAACTACGCAGCACTTATTTCGATTAAAATATTAAATTGATTAGTACGTTACTTAAATAAGAGTTTATTTTTAAACATTGTAAAAGTGGATTTAAGACATTTAATCGAATCTCAATAACTTAAATTAAATGTAATTTAAATTAGCGCCAACATTTCGCCACTGCATAGGTGTTTCCTTTTATGAGGATACACATATGTAATTGTTTGTCCCTACTTAGCGTAGAGACTAACTCTCGTCTATTTGCTGTCATTGTTGACTACAATAAAACAGATTAAGTGAAATGGTTTTATGAAAGTTATCTGAAACTGATAGTTACAAAAAATGTAAAAACAGTCTTAGTTGACAATAATATATTTCACAGATCGCTATAAAAAGGCACTGTTGATAATTTATGGTTAATTTGTTTTTAAATAATGCACTAACTACAGCTTGCGCGCCGTCGCAATAATTGTAAGTAAAACAAGTAACCAAGTAATCGTTTTAAGTGTTCTGAATATCCGTGGTTTAAA